AGCAATGCCGACTGCACTGACGGGGGAGTGGAAATGCGGATGACCCTCAGTTGCTTCGCACATGTCAGTATGCAAGCGAACAACACACTTAGCATCCTATCACCGAGTCGGCCAGCCGTTGCAGGCTGCTGCACTATATGATTATATGTGCCGACCACTCAAACCACGTTCAGCCACGACCATGTCGCCATAAATGGGCAGCAACCGACTACGGTTGACTCGATCCGTCAGGCTAGAGTCCCAGCCACATTTCTTCTAACTGATATCTATCACAAACTTCTTTTCCTTCTCATCCATCATAAACTTGTTTTGATTCAAATCTATAACAAACTTCTTTTAGCTCTTATCTATAACAGACTTCTTTTAATGCTTATCTTTAACAAGCTATGTAACAATGTAATATACCAAACACGTCATTACGCAGCTTTCCTTCTGAGGCCCAGACCTCGCACCGCAAAACCCCAAACTCGAAACCCTAAACCTCCGAATCAGAAACCCCGCACCCCGGTAAAGTGACGCTTCTAGAACCCTCCCTTTTTGATCCCTTTAAAGGAGCCGTTGCAGATCCCTTTTGAAGGAGCGCTTACAGACCCCTTGAAAGGAAACTCTAATGGGTAGTTGTCAGAATTGTGGTCCTTTTTTGGGTAAGGAGCCTCCATCGAGGGTGGTCGGTTGGAAGTCCCTGCAGGTGTGTCTTCATCGCAAAGTCTTCAACCTGTGGGGTTCAGGGCTTGGGGGCTTAAGGTTTATGGCTTAGGGGCTTAAGGCTTAGGGTTTTAAGGTTTAGGGCTTTGGGTTTAGGAAATACATCTAAACCTTCATTTCATGTGGTTTAATGAAAAAACAAAGGTCCCCAAAAGAGCACGCAAGTATGGGCACTCCAAGACCCAGCAGCTGATGACTCATCTCCCAACTCCTCTCAGGGCTTTGGGTTTTATATAGAGGCCTCAATAATTCGTCTAGAACTAGAATAGGGTTTGTGGGCCCCACTATACCATCATTATAGTAAGGAAACCCCCGAAAGCGGATCTACAACTCATCCTCTTGAGGTGTGTCGTTTCTAGACGCCCCATACCCTTGCTTGTAGCCTTTTAACCAGAACCTGAACAAAGGTGCACCTTAGCCTTATTCGGGACCTCTAAAGAGGGCAACTATAGTTTGAAAATGCATTCCCTGAAGCCCGACAACTACCCGAAACAGACGACCCCAGAACACCCTACATAAACCCCGTGTAAACGCTTACAACAGCTTACACAACCCTCCATATAGTCGACCCCGAACCCCTAAACCCCCAAACCCCTGAACCCTTAAACTCTACAACCTAAACCCTAAAACCCTAAACCCTAAACCCTACCTTATAGGTCCCAAAAAGGAACCCCTAAACCCCTGAGCCCCTAAGCCCCTAACCCCTATACGCCAAACCCTATACCCTAATCAGATCCTTGAGGCTTCCCTTCAATTAGGTTCCCTTAAAGGAACCTTTAGTTGCTGAGATCATAATAAGCCCCACAAAGTGTACACTTTTAGTTGTATAGTGGCCAATATTGTCCAAAAAAGTGTAAGCTGTATCCACTCAGCTACCAAGAACCCTATAACCTAATTAGATCCTTTAGGGTTCCCTTTAAAGGAACCCTAAAACCCCCAAGTAACCCTAAAACAACCACGAGACTTCCTCTTCGAGGAAGTGATAGGCTCTGTCCATCTGCTCATGTCTACGGACCCACCTCGGAGCTTAGGTGCGTTAATAGGGTTAAGCGTTTTAGGGCCTAGGGTTTAAGATTTAGGGCTGATGGGTTTTTGGTTTAGGGTTGAGGGTTCCTTCTATCTTTTCGGGTGTTTGTAATCTTTTTGGAGTTTAGGGTTCCGTTAAACGGGTACACGGGATCTATAAGGGTTTTCAGCTTTACTTCAGAGGTTCATGGGACCTAGTAGGTAAGGTCATCAGTACGTTCATTGGGGTTTATATGCAAAAAATACAATCAAACCGAGTTGCTAAGTCCCATGATCCGCCAAGTAGACCCCAACAAAAATCCTAAACCCTATGTAAGCCCCTAAGGATCCCTTATAGATCCCTTTAAGGAAGCCTTTAGGTTGCTAAGTCCCATGATCCTCCAAGTAGGGTTTGCAGCTTAGGGTGTCGGACCCCACTTTGGAGTTTCGCGAGAAATGGGAGTTTCCGAAAATTAGGGGTACCTTATTTTGGGGTCCTTATAATAAGGGTTTAGGGTTTAGGGTTTAGGGGATCCTATTATTTAGGGTACTATACTAGGGTCCCCTATTTTCGGAAACTCCCATGTGCATCTCTTGAAGGGTTCCTTTTGAAGGGGTCGGGGCATTGGGGTTTAGCGTTTGGGGTTTCAGAGTTTAGGGTTTAGGGCTCCTGAAGTGGTTCCTTTAAGGGGTCCTGTGGAGGTTTCAACTGAGGGTATGATCGTTCTAGAAGGGTCTGTGTTCCCAAGATTCAAGAAGGGTCTTAGAATAAGGCTTCTTCAAGGGTTCTATTTTGTTCAAGGCTTCGGGCTCTTTCCGATGATTCTTTGCGGGTTCTGAAGGCGCATGTACGGATTCTTCGGGGTCTCCATAAGGGTTTAGGGATTACAGGTGGGTTTTGGGCTTGGGGGCTTAGGGTTGAAAGTTGATAGCAGGAGCCCCAAAAACCTGGATTATAGTTTTGGGACTCTGAAAAGCTAGACCCAAAAGTAGCCTAGGAACAAAAAGGGTGCCCTTTTTGGTTTAAAGGGGCTTATAAGGGAAACTGAACCCTAAAAAAAGGGAATAAGGGCCTACTCTAGGTCCTAGAAAGTATTTATGAACAGGTATCTCTATAGGAACCATAAAAGGGAATTAACAAGTTTCCCAACTTGCCACCTAGAAACCCACCTCAGCCACATTGACAATCAAATCCAAAGTTCCCAGAGCCTCCAAAAACCCCTAAATTAAGGAATAGACCCTAAATTATAACAGGATCCCTTATCTGGTTTAAGGTATATTCCTTCATTAACTACCATTTGCTTAAGAAACCCCCAAAAAATAAAAACAATAATCCCTATATTACCCCCATAAGGAATATATTTTTTATTTTTTGGGGGTTCTTAAGCAAATAGTAGTTAAGGGGTTTTGGAGGTTCTGGGTTTTTCAGGGTTTAGGAGTCACCGAGTCACTAGAGCCCTAGGACCTCGAGAGCCAGAACCCTAAACCCTGCTTGGAGGATCATGGGACTTAGGGCTCCTTAAACGGTTCCTTAAAGGGCTCCTTTGTTGAGGGTTCTATAAGGGATCTATAGGGGTTTAGGGTTTAGGGTCTACTTGGAGGATCATGGGACTTAGTGACTGGGGTTATTACTAAGGTAACTATACTTATAACTCCAATTAGGGTACTTATAACCTGACTTACTAAGTCCCATGATCCTCCAAGTAGACCCCAAAACAACCCTAAACCCTATGTAAACCCCTAAGAATCCCTTATAGATCCCTTTAAGGAACCCCTTGGGGAACCCTTTAAGTTACTATCTTAGTCCCATGATCCTCCAAGTAGAACCCCCCAAAACCCCACAACCGCAGAGCGGCAAGGATACCGGCCCAAGCGTGTGAGGCGCGCTCATCAGCCTAAAACCCTAACAAAACCCTAAAGAAGCGGGTCGCTAAAGCCGTGCCAGGACGCTGCCTGCCTTCAATGCAAGAATTGAAGCGATGGCAGGGCCACAAGTGCTTCCTTGGTCTGTCCCAAGAGGGTTTAGGGGGTAGGGTTTAGGGTTTAGGGTTGAGGGTTGTGCTACCTTGGTTCGCCCAACAGAGTTTAAGGTTCTCGGATTTTAGGTTTTATCAGGATTAGGGCGCAGTTACAGGGTTTAGAGTTCTGGGGTTTAGGGTTTGCGGTTGAAGCGTCTATAGTCTAGGTGCCAGGTTTCACCGTTGTGATGTAGGAGTCTCCGGGCTACGGGTTTAAGGCGTAGTGGGAGGATCATGGGACTCAGTAACTAGGGTTATACAAAGGGGGTAACTATACTTATGACTCCAATTAGGGTACTTATAACCTTACTTACTAAGTCCCATGATACTCCAAGTAGTGGGGTTTTGGGATTCAGGGCTGACGTCCAACAATGCGAAACCGAAGGGTCGGCGTTTGGAAGACGGCTGACAAACAAAATCCTGCGTTCCTGAGTTCAGGACCATGGCAGTTATGGTGCATACTTCGTCCGGCCAGGCAAGGTGTCTTCCATCAGGGCTAACAACAGAAGCAATAATGAACTCGGCCGAGGAAGAAAGCTCATAAATGCTGAATATGGGAGAACCAAGCTTCTCAAAGGCATCCGCGATCGCCGTAAGGTCTGGAGCCTTTTCAAACCACAAGATCGTCGTCAGGTAAGGCTCGACCATATTCATCCTAAGTGTCAGTCGGAGAGTCCGGCAACTGCGATAGGTATCACGCAAATGATGAAGGAACCTGGACGACCATAAATCCCCTGCAAACCCCTCCCGAAAACTCCCTCAAAGTTGATGAACCCTGCAACCCCAGCAAACCCGACAAGTGTCGCGGCCGGCCATGGATTGTTAGCCATGCTGGCCTTGATTCCAGGCTCTCACACAGTCAGACCCTACTCTGCGTGTGCTTGCTCATCTGCATGAAGTGCACACACAATCCAACTTGAATCCAAGCAGCCCCTACACCTGACATGCTTCGTCTCATCTCCGACATGGTTTCACAGGGGCGGCAGACTGCGTGCGCAATCAGTGCCCTGTCTGAGCCACTGCAAGTTCACAGCACCTGGTTTTCTCCCTTCGCCACTCCAACACTACATGACAAGAAGCCGCTCTTACTCTGTAAAACCACACGTGCGCTTGAAACTGCGTCCAAGCACTGAGGCACCTTCACTGTCTCCGCAACCCACAGCCACAGGCCAAGTGCCTTCTGCAGAAAGTATCCACCCCCCCCGAATAAAGACACCATTTAGAAACATCACACAAAAGGACTGGGAAATCGGATCCGTCTGAGAGAGCCGCGGGTGCAGATGCGACCATGTGCAGAAACCGCATCCTTCAGACAGTGAGGCGCACTCTAAACCCTAAACCCTGAAAGGGCCCCTAATTCAGAGAACCACCCCTTATAGTACCCTTATAGAAAACTTATAGAAACCCTTATACATCCCTTGAAGGAACCCTCATATCGCTAACAGCTAAACCCTTTCGGTTTCGGGGTTTACGGTCCTCAAGGGCCGAGCCGAGAATTCACATCCAGGCCTTAAGTGTCATCGCATTTCAGCTAATGCCTAAACCCTTAATTAAGGAATGTACCTTAAATCAGATTAGGGATCCAATTATGATTTAAGAGATATTCCTTAGTTACGGGGTTTTGGAGCTCTGGGTAATCGCCACGAACGGTCCCTAAACCCTTATAAACCCCAAACCCTAAGTAAACCGCATCTCCGACAGGATCGCCAGCAAGGCTCTTCTCACTGGCTTTTCTATTCTTCTTTCGCCGAGGTGTCCCACACCGCGAGGCAGATCAGGAGCAGTGTCTTGAGTCGTAAGTTCTAGGGCTCGGGGCTCTGCTTTTTCGCTCGCCCTCTTTCACCCTTTTCCATCTTTACTTGGAGGATCATGGGACTTAGTAACGAGGGTTATAAATAAGGCAACTATACTTATGTATAACTCCAATTCGGGTACTCATAACCTTACTTACTAAGCCCCATGATCCTCCAAGTAGAGCATGAGGGCTCGGAGTTTACCTGGCTCGTCTACTCGAACAGGATCATGGGACTCGATGGAATGAGGTGACGATACACGTGGCTGATCATATCCCCAGTTAAGGTACTTATAACCTTACTTCCTAAGTCGCATGTTCCTCCAAGTATATCCCCCTGCCTGAAGGATTGATGCGATGCTCTTGGACAGCCTCAGCTTCAAAGCGGAGTTGCCGCGATCCAAACACGCTTGACTCTGAGCCAAGTGCCCGGCGCTTTACGTGCAGCTGCTCCCATGTGTGCACGGGCCACACCATCGGGCCGTGCCTTTGTAAACAGCCAAGCGCCCTCACACAAGATGCGCTTTAAAGGGTCTGTTTACGGTTCGGAGCTTCCCGAAAAGCCTACCGCTCCATGGACCTATATAAGGAAATCATGATAAGGAACCCAAAACCCTAAACTCAAAACCCTTAAAAGGGTTCAGGTGATGGCTCGAAGACTGGAAACGTCTTTCACCTGAGCTTTCGGCAGCCACAAACTCATTGCCCTCGGCGACGGCATCCTCTGGTGGTTTGAGCTTCCAAGTCGCATGAAGGCGGGGTTTAGGGTCTAGGGCTTGAGGGAATTGGGTTTAACGAGTCTTAAGCCTTTTGGGTTCTAGGGTTTTACGAGATTTTATATATACATATATATATATATAGACATATATACATAATACATATATATATATATATACATATATATATATATATATAGAGAGTTGTTTTTTCAGGGCTTTAGGCTGACACCTTGCCATAAGCGCCGCTTCGGAGTCTGAGCGCTGCAGAGTCCTCAACTGCCTGCATCGCGGCAGAAGTTGCAGGGAGCCTTCGGCGACACGGATCTGAAACCCTAACCCCTAAACCCTAACCGTAAACCCCTACGCTCTAAACTCTGAACCCCTGCAGGGTAAACCCTAAAGACCTAAACCCAAACTAGAACCCTAAAGACCTGAACCCAGCATCGCTCAAGCCAACGCCGCCTCTGCAAAGCCCGAAGGGCTGCTTGCTGCTTTGCTAGGACTTGCGTCGCAGCGCGGATGCCCCATTCCTGGTACAGCAAGTACCCTAAACCCTAAACCCCAAACCCTGGCTTAGGCTTCATGCACTGTTTCGTTTGCGAGGAGCATTTTTTTTGCTTCTATGATTGTTACTGATATTGGCACTGATTCATGTTCCGGTTAGTGCTACTTACTATTCCTGCTGTGGTCATCCTACTTACAATCATTGATAGTGCGGTTGTTCCCGGAAACGTTGGCTTCAACATCCTCAAGAGCTTCAGCTCTAAACCCTAAACCCTAAACCCTAAACCCATAAACTCTGCAACCCCACTCCGACCTCCTGCAGGATCTGCCCCTTGAGCATCAAGAGCCGCTGCTTGGACCAGCGCTCCAACCAGCTTCCCTGCAGGGTTTCCTATAGATGGGAGTTTCCGAAAATAGGGGACCTTAATATAGTACCCTAAATAGTAGGATCCTTATTATAAGGACCCCAAAATCAAGGTACCCCCCATTCTCGGAAACTCCCAAATGGCTTTATAGTCAGGATCAGAACAAGGTTTGATGGACATACTACAAGAATAAGAAGGCTTTTACACTGGGGTTTAGGGTTTAGGATTTAGGGTTTAGGGTTTAGGGGGGTTTAGGGTTTAGGAGCTAGTGGCGAAGCGTTGTCAGGGCCAAGGCATCCTCCAACGCTGGAGGAAGTGAAGCGCAGGGTGCTAACCATCGGATCATGCTCCTTCACTTTGGGGTTGATGATATAAATCCTGCATTACCTTAAGGACCCTAGACGATGGGAATTATGGCACAGTCCTTGCTATGGGAAATGCAGGATTTATATCATCAACCGTACCAGCACCACCACGACGACGACTACTGCTCCTGCTCCTACTCTCCTGCTATTGCTCTCTTGCTCCTACTGCGGCTGCTGCTCCTCCTCCTCCTCCTCCCGACCTCCATTGCTGCTGCTACTATGACTACCACCATTGCTTTTCCATCTGTGCAATTACGGTTGGAGTTGCTACTATTACCGCTGGTATTTCTATCATGCTGTTGTAGCTATTGCGCTTGCTCTCATTATGACTATGGATGTGACTATATGACTTTTACTACCATTATACCGTGTGTTCCTGATACTGCTGCTGATGGGTAGTTCTCTAGATTATGGTCCGTTTTCAGGTCCCCAATAGGACCTAACAAGGGACCCCAATTTACAGAACTCCCCCGATGGCTACAGAGATAGCTCCCCAAGGCTCGCACAGGCCGCTCTTGCAGCTCCTCTGCCGCACTCCTCTGCCGGGTTCAGAGCTGCTTCGAGGTGTTTGGGGGGGGGGGGGGGTGTTGTTCCTAGCTCATTTGCCAGATTTGGGTTGTCTTGAAAGGGGCGGGGCGATAGGTGTGTTGGTGCCGCTAGATTCACAGTCAGGGTTCAATGTCATTTCGGGTTTAGTGCTTCTCTGTTATGTTTCCTGAAGCTGTAAGAGCTCTGTGCGGGCCCCTGTCTGTTACGATAACGGGTTATGGGCAGAGGCACTTCAAAGGGGCTTGGGGCTTGCAAGGTTTAGGGTTTGGTGCTTTATGTAGGGAGCCTTAACAATGCGAAGAGGGTTTTGGTGTAGATTCTATCTGAAGGATGCGCCACGACATACTTTTGGTAATTGTTCATTCGCCTAGAGTAAGCCCCAATCCCTATCCCTTATACTAGCCTTATAGTAGGTGCTTAATAGGGTGTCACCTAGAGGCTCATGTTAGCAAGAGGTAGCTATACTTATAACTTATAACTAGCTATAGCCAATTATAGCCCCAGCTTACGTACTTATAACTGTGCCTGCTAAGCCCCATGAACCTCCAATCCCTTTGGATCCCTTATAGAACCCTTCAAGTTAAACCCTAAACCCTAAACCGCTAAATGCACACTAAACCCTAAACTCCTAAACCCCTAAACCGCTAAATGTACACTAAGCCCTAAACCCCTAAACCCCTAAACCCTCAGAAACCCTTTAAGGACTTAGTAAGTAGGTAGTAATAGACTTATAAGTACCCTAAAAGGGACCCTAATTGGGGTTACGGTACTTATAAGTCCCTAAAATAACCAGTTACTAAGTCCCCCTAAACCCTAAACCCTATACCCTTTTAGAATCCCTATAGATCCCTTTAAAGGGGCCCTTAAGGAACCCCTTATAGTTACTAAGTCCCCTAAAGACCCTCCAAGTAGGAGCTCCTCAGCCACGTATCCCAAAGCTCCTCTGGAGCGCCGGCCTCAAAGCAAAGCGCCGTGGGAGCCGGGTTTGGGGCTCTTTAAGGCTTAGTGGGTTTAGGGCTTAGTGGGTTTAGGGTTTAGGGGCGAGTTTCGGGTTTAGGGGCGAGTTTAGGGTTTAGGGTTTAGGGCTCTTTAGGGTTTAAGGTTGAGAGGGTTTAAGGTTTAGGGCTCTTTAGGGTTTAGGGTTAAGTTAAGAGGGTTTAGGGTTTAGGGCTCTTTCGGGTTTAGGGGTTTAGGGGTTTAGGGCTTAGTGGGTTTAGGGTTTCGGGGCGAGTTTAAGTATCTTAGGAGTTTCAGAGCTATTGTGGGGTTAATATAGGGACTTTAATGATTCGAATACGCTTTTGGCGCCCAATATACTACAAGTATAATAAGGAACCGCCAGAATAGTATAGTTAATTCTTTAGGCCCCTATATTACATCCTTATAACAGCCCTTATAGTAATCCTTATAGACCCTTTCAACAGGAACCCCTTAAAGGAGCCCTTAGGAAATTATTGAGGCCCCTACATTAAGGGCGTTATGCTTCAGAGTAGAACCGTCGCAGCTGCCTCGACTCGCCGTCGCAGCTCGGCGTTCTCCTTCCAAGACTGTCTGGTTCTTGGTAGGGAATGCCGGAATGGCTTATGGACTAGCTTGGACCGGTATCCTTGCTTGTGGGGTTTTGAGGGGCTTCTAGGGTTTAGGGTTCCTTAAAGGGTTCCTTAAAGGGCTCCTTAAAGGGATCTATAAGGGATCTTTAGGGGTCTAGGGTTTATGGTACTACTTGGAGGATCATGGGACTTAGTAAGTAAGGTTATAAGTACCCTAATTGGAATTATAAGTATAGTTGCTTTAGTTATAACCCTAGTTACTAAGTCCCATGCTCCTCCAAGTAGGGAATGCGGGAATGGCTTATGCACTAGCTTTAGGGCGCCTGAAGGAACTTTCATAGGGATCCGTTTAAGAACCAGACAGAAGATGGGAGGGTGCAGAACATTAACCTATGTCATTGCAAGGCTGCGTTTAGTGTTGCCAGATTACTTCAGGGTTAGTAGCAGGGTACTCTATGGGCTTCCCAGAGCCTCCAAAACCCCTTCATTAAGGAGTATGCCTTAAATCATCTTCGGGATCCTATTATAATTTAAGGTATACTCCTTAATTAAAGGGTTTTGGAGGCTCTGGCTTCAGTGTTCAGGGTTTTCGGTCCAGGTGTTGTCCTCCTGCAATTTTGCGAGTTCTGCTGCGCGCTGCTTTGGCGGCATGGCGAGGGCAGTCAACAGCCAGAAGGTCTGGGCGTCTTGTTTAGGTTTAGGGTTGAGCGTTTACGGTTTAGTATAGGGTTTAAGGTTTAGGGTTTAGAGGGGGCGGTTATAGTTAATATGGGGTAAGGGGCCGTGCGTGGTAACGAGAGTACGGTGTTGGCATAGGCATAAACTCTACTACAGCTACAAAAGAGTTATAGATCAAAATATCCATGCCTCCATAGTGGCATTTGGCATGTGACTGGCTTGGCTCTTTGGCCAAGCCTCAAGCTGGATGACGAGCGGCACGCAAGGGTTCCCTAGACACTTGACTGGCTCGGCTGCTTGGAGGATCGCTTAGTAAGTAAGGATATAAATCCCTGTACTGGGGTTATAACCAGTAATAAGTATATAACCCGAGATACCAAGTCCCGTGCTCCTCCAAGTGCTTGATCAAGGGCAATGCGAAAGAGATCCGTCCGCATTGTTTTGATCCTGCGCTGCTCAGTCGACCTTCTCCACAACTGCCAGGATCACACCATTATCCTCCTTCAGCTTAATCGACCTGGTTGCAGTTCAGGGTTTCGCGTCAGCTTCTGAGGAGCCATGTTGACCGAAACGCGCAGACACGTTCGGATAGGAAGATGATTTGTTCAGACAGGGCGGCATGCTCTCCACTACAGTAGGTCATAGTGTGTTGGAGCATATTGTCGCATATCACAGTATGGTAGAGTATGTTATGCCATGGAATACAACAGTATACCACAGTATGTTGCCGAAAGTTTGACCAGAGCCCGCCTGGTCTCCCCGTCGATGGAGATGACAGGCTTGCTCTCGTTGGGGTCCAGCTTGTCGCAGCCCTGCAGACGGCCGATGATGTCGGGAAGCAAGAGACTACTTGAAGCATCATGGGACTTAGTAAATAAGGCTACAAGTAAGGCAATTGGAGTCACATGTAAGTATAACCATAGTTAGTTACCTTGTTTATAACCCTAGTTGCCATGATCTTCCAAGTACCAAAGCGGCCCAATCGCCTGTGCGAAGTTCGCCAAGAACTCTTTTCGTGGGGGCCTTGGGCGTGAATCTGCAACTCGATCTGACCCTAAAACCCTGAGCCCTTGATGATCTTCTGAGCCGTCCTTTAAGCCTTTTTACAATTATTTACTATTATGGTTCTCTACGAAATAGTCGGGGAAATTAAAAAGGATCCCAAAGGACAACCCAGTCTTGTGCGTCCACCCAAAACCGAAGCCCGAGACATGAACTCGCAGACCCTTGACTTTGCCCAGGCCTCATAACCTGGAGCAGGGAGAGATATGAGAGCTTCCGAAAATTAGGGGTACCTTATTTTGGGGGTCCTTATAATAAGGATCCTACTATTTAGGGTACTATATTAGGGCCCCCTATTTTCGGAAGCTCCCATATGTTCTTTTCTTGTGTAATATGTTGTTCTATTTTGTATTGTATCCAACTATAGCAATGGAGGGAACGGAGAAAAGAGGGAGAAGTAGGGACAGTGGACCCTCCTGAAACGTCAATGCAAAGCAAAAGAAGGGAAGCGTCTAGCAGTTTATCCCAAATGGTGTGACAGCATTGATATCAATTCCGAGAGTTACTGCAAAGATATGGGGTTTTACGAAAATATGGGGCCCAATATAGCACCTTACATAGTAGGATCCTGATTTTACGGACCCCAAAATAAGGTACCTGTAATTTCGGAAACGCCCATATACCAACCTCCAATCTCGCGTCGTATCAGAAACCCAAGCCCCCCATCCTAGATGTGCTCCTTACGATTCGTATAGGGGCTCATTGATTAGAGTATGGTTTTGGGGTATCTTTTAGCATACTTATAATAAGGAACTCCCAAAATAGCATTGGTCATTATTCAGCCATATAGTAAGCAGTATGACACTATCAGAGTAACGGAACACAACAGAAACCCCGAGCGTCTTATTGCAACGAGCCCGTAGAACAGCTCCCCTGGCTGCGTCCCTGAGAACTGGCCGAGAAGCCGAGGAGCACTCCAAGCCAAGGATTCGTGACTTTACGCACTCGTGTGTGTGTGTGTGGGTGGGACTTACCTTAACCCACAAAACTACTCTCCGTAGACTTTTATAAGGAAGTCATGACAAGGAATCACAAAAATGCAGCTTTTTGCGTATGATGGGGTGCACATGGACCGTGGACCCGACCTCTTCGTGTATCAACCCATCGACTTGAACCCTATACCGAACAGGCACCACAAACGCTACACCGCTAAAGCCTAAACCCTAAACGCTGCACCCCAAACCCTAAACCCTGAGCCCCTTATAGATCCCTTATAAGTCCCTTAAAGGGACCCTAGCCTAAACCCTACACCCTGACCCTAAGGCACCGACAGGCAGTCGGGGTTGCCCGCAGTCTGCAAGACAAAGCCGGTGTCGCTTGCAAGGCCTAGCTGCTAAAGGCGCTGAAACGGAAGGAGGGGTTCCTTTTTCAGGGAACTGGGGGGGGGTTTAGGGTTCCTTAAAGGGTTCTATCATGGATCTATAGGGTTTAGTGTTTAGTAAGGGGTTTCGGGATTTAGGAGTTTGGGGTGTGCCATATACTCTAGGCATTATGGTAGGTTCTCGACATGAAGAGAGCCCAGTATACCTTACATAAGGAATATGCCTGAAGTTATAAGTATGCCCCTTTCTTTCAGCAAGTAAAATCATTCCTTTACCTATAGAAACCCCTAAACCCTAAACCCTGAACCCTAAACCCTAAACCCCAAACCCTAAACCCCAAGCCCTCTGAAGCCTGACAACTAAGGTGTAATCGGGCTCTCTGGGAACTCGAAGAACTCTCGGCCCACGGCATACTGCGCCCATGACATTCTCTTTCTCGACAAGCTTCTCCAAGACCTGGGATCCCAGGGTTTTTTTGGGTTTGGGCGTTTATGGTCTACCTGAAGCTACTAAAACCTACTTCTTTGTAGGGTCCCTATAAACTCCATATCAAGGTTTATAATAAGAACCTACAAAAAAGTATGTTTTGGTAGGTTAAGGTAGGGTGTTTATGGGTTCAGGGTTTAGCTGAAAGCCTAAGCTTCTCACATAAGCGCCCGCAAGGATCAGAATCGGGTTTTCGGACATATCATCGTATACTTATAACTAACAAGGACACCTCAGGGATGATGTTGGCACTTACTTAGGCTTCTATAATTAAGCTCTAATCATGGAAAAGCCCCAGAGCCACAAAGCCTTAATGCCCCAGAGTCCCTTCACGCAGCAGATCCTGATGCCTTGATTTAGGGCTTTAGGGTTTTGACATTTGGGCCCAAACCCTGAGCCCTAAAACCCGAAATCCTAATACCCTAAACCCTCAGCAACCTGGATGGTGGAAGAACCCAGTAGCAATGCCGAAAGCTGCCAAGCCACGGGCTTCAGAGACATCTGCATGCTCCTTGTGGCTGCAGAGGTGCCTATGGAAGACGTAACCACCGGGGTGACAGTGAGGCCTGTCCTCTTACAAGTAAGCTGGAGCCATCGCTGCAACGTAAGTTCCGTGCTCTCCGAGAAGCCCTTCGCTACACAGTCTCTACCAGATTCAGCCGCGACCCGGCACTGCAGCGGTTGACAATCACGTGGCAAGCCCTGAAATTTTCGCGGACGCCTCAGAAGACTTTGCGAAGGCATGCGGGGCATTTGCCAGATTCCTTTTGAACTGGCCCACACCTCGTCTGAGAACATGACTACAGAGTTGAATTCGACAGAGTGGCTCAGGAATTAAGCACCCCAAGACCCAAAGAAAGACCCTTAGTGTTTGGATCCTTCGTATAACGACCCAAACAGGGGACCTCATGTCACACTTCTGATTCTGCATCCGTCATCTGATGGCTCAGTGGCACGACCTTGCGCGAAGTAGTGCACACCGTCGTGCCGAAGGCGGCCGAGAACAGGGCTTTAAGCTGTTCAAGTTTAGGGTTTGAGAGGTTTAGGGGTTTGGGGCTTAAGTTTTGCAGGGTTTAGGGTTTGGGGGTTTAGGGGTTTGGGGGTTCAGCTGCTTAGGCGTCGAGGCTTGCTCTTTATGGTGCTTGTTTGAAGCTGAATGCGCTCCTTTTTCTCCCCGCAGTTTTAGTGGCTTTAAGATTCAGGGTTTTAATCATTGGTTATAAGTACTGTTACTATACATATATATATATATATAGATACAAAACCCCAGGAGCTAACTCGCATGATTCTCCCAGTAAGGTTTACGGCTAAAGTTGTCCATGCTTCGCAAGCAAACGTTCCAGTGCCTCGCGAGGGGCTCGGTCATCTGCTGCGCTTCTGCATCCTTCCGATTTACGGTTTCTTTCCGGTTTAAGGTTTGGGGTTTCGGGCGCAGGGCTTTTTTTTGCTCCAAATTGAAAGGCCGCGAACTCATCTTGGGGGTATAATTATGATGGTAGAACCATAATATAGGGAATACAAAGGAAGCATACTACTAACCCTTCGCGTCCCCAGAGCCTCCAAAACCCCTTAATTTTGGAATAATAGGCCTCAAATCATATTAAGGATCTTGTTATGATCTATAGGGTATATTCCTTGTAGAGCCCTTATAGATCCCTTTAAAAGAGCTCTTTAAGAAACCCCAGGTTTCAGGTATATTCCTTAGTTCAGGGGTTTTGGAGGCTCTCGCGTCGTTCCTGCCTTGACGGAGGGATTTCTCGGAGTCAGGCGCTCGGGCCTGATGGGCATCTACCCAGACCCCCGGGGAAATCTAGAAAGCAGATCCCGTAATTTGGGGCCCTATACTAAACCCTAAACCCTAAACCCCTAAACCCTAAACCCTAAACCCCCATTAAGGGATCTACTTTTTGCATCCTCCCGGGGTCTGGGTAACCGAAAGTCGAAGCGAAAGACATGGCAATGACAGCCAAACGGATCAACAAGATCAGTCATAATCATAATAAGAACCATCATAAGTATAGTAAGAGCCATGGTATATAACACTACATGTAAGTGGTAAGAACAAGAAAAGATTTCGAGAACAAAGATGATAACTCATATGCT